TAATAAAAAATCCTGCATCGCAAAAATAATTTGTAGGAAATGGAAGTATAATGATGATAATTATCATCATCAAACTCCATTAGGGTGAGGGCTTGAGTGGTTCAAAACCTTGCTGTGTATGTGTCATCATACAGGTCGAGGGATGGTGTTAATGGATTAAGTTCAGCCTCTTGCACTCAGGGTGTTCTGAAAAGGGCTAATGTTATGCTGATCTCTGTCTCGACAGGTCTGGGAAACCCAAAATTCTCAACCTGTATGGTGACATTTATGCACTACGCAAGACAGCAGGGTTTCTGTTTCTGTCTTGAGCCTCTCAAGCCCTCACTCTAATGGAGTTTGAAGAAGATGAAGATGAATGTTATGGGAGCCTCTGACTCATCCTGGCTGACTCTCATTCTCAAATGGTGCACTTTTAAATCCTGCCCACCTGAGTAAAGTAACAATAACTTGTTTTGGAATATTTTGCTACTCAGTAATCATTGAATGTTAGATCTTTGTTTCTAATTGGAGATATAATATAGATCAGTCCAAAGTTAATAGTGATGTTGATATAGTTTTTATTTTATTACCTAGAAGAGCTTTATAAAATTATTTGTTCTTGTCTAATTAGTTCAATAATTTGTGGAACACCTATCCAAACCTTATGGAACCCTAGTTTTCCAGAGAACACAGTTTGGGAAACACTGTTTTTAATTAATATTTATTTATAAATTATTTACATCTATGGACATTTTTTATTCTAGGCATTCCCTTGCATATCTACTGGGATATTTGGTGAGTGCTTATTAGCATTGTTTTCTTTTCTATATTATTTTGAATTCCATATACTTGATCAATTGTATTTAATCTTTAGGCCCAAAATATTCAGACACTTAAATCTTTTGCAAAGTATTTTGTCAGTACTTTAACTTGAATGACTAACCCCACTCATTTAACCAAATAATCAACAAAAATATATATATCGCTTGTTGGCGCTTCCCTGACCCCGATACTTCTGACTTGAGACTTCCTTTGTTTAATTTAACAAAAACTCATTCAAACTAATTTCAGTCAAAAGCTAATCAACTCGTATGATATGTAGTTGATGAAACCTTTTTTTAGATGTACTTTTTTATAGTTGCTGCTGGAAGTAAAGAAGTAGCTTACTAATTTTATATTTAATTAATGCTTGACTGTTTTTGTTGTGGCGTTCCATGTGTTGCTTTCTTTGGCATTTTTTAATATTTTAAAAATATATAGGCAAGAGATATTTGACACTTTTTTGTGTCCTTCCTTCTCAGGATATCCTAATGAAAGAGCTGCAAGGGTTGCTTTGAACACAATTAGGCAATGGCTTGAAACAGAAGAATATGGGGCAAAGGTAAAGTATGTTATTGCTATTGATAGCTCATGTTTTGAAAATAACTTATTCATGTGATGATAGGTTTTGCCAGATATTTCCCCAAATTGTCTCATCATGTGCTCTATAGAAATATTTCCCCTTTCAGACCATGTGATCTCTGGAGAAGATTATGTAAAGGTCATTTGTTTCATGTGGCCAGCACAGCGACCAACTGCCTTACTTTTCCCCAACTAATATCAGATACCTATTAGAGCTGGGTGTAGTCAGAGGCGCCCTAAAATCTCGAAAATAAAAATCCCAGTCTTCACCGAGATTCGAACTGGGACCACTCAGCCACCATTCCCCCTTACTACAAACAATATGTCCTAAAATTATTTGTTAAAAAAATTAAAAGGACTTTCTTGTCTCTCTTCTTCTTTTAGTTTGTCTTGTATGATTGTACACCTGTATTTGTCAAGAATTATTTTAATTTAGAGAGCAACAGATTTTTTTTTTTGTTATTTGTATTTGGGGAATGGAGGCTGAAAAGTAAAGTGTTTAGCTTCTGAACCAAGGAAATCTCTAGTTCAAATCCTTGTGAAGACTGGGATTGTGTACTTTAGGATTTTTAGGACACTTCTGAGTCCACCCAACTTTAATGGGTACCCAACATATGTTGGGAAGTAATGGCTCTTGATTATTGCGATGCCCACATAACACTTCTGTTAAACGTCAAATATAGAAACAGATGAGCTTTACATCATCTTTTCCCATAGATTGCTAGAGTTGAAAGACTTACGTTTACTTTTTTACAAAGCTTATATCAACTCACTCTGTCTGGTAAAAAGTTTGTGCGCATTATTTCTCCAACACCCAATCTGGGATCAAGCTGAAATTTTGCCAAATTATTTCTTTTACCTGACAACACTAGAATTAATTTTAAAAATTAAACAATCAGTTAATATCAACTATTAGTAATTAATTATTTTGTTTGGTATCTCGAACATCCCCTTTTCCCAACTGGTCCAGATAAGTGATAGGATCATATCATATTGAGAAAGCTAAAAGCTAGAAATTGCGCTAAACAAGAATAATTGGTAAAAATATTTCTAATTGCACAGGTTTATTCTTGTTAGTCTAGATCTATTACAATGACTGATCCAAACTAATTGATTTAACTACACTTAATATAAGCTTTGTTTTTTAAAAAGTATTTTTTGTATTTTGCTTGTTAAAATTTGTATTTAGGTAACACAGCCATAATACAGCCATTAGGAAGAGCTTGTAATGAAATTTTCATAGTCTGCAGTTTTGTCTAATCAGCATAGGTTTGTAATTGAAATGACTCCTAGGCCTTGACCTTGACATGTCAATTGCCTTTTAAGCAAATGTATCCCATAATCTACACTTAGTTCTAGCATTGGCTCTCAAATATTCTGTTCAGTACAGTCAGATCTTAAACAAAATTGCCAACTAAATCAAAGTTGTTTGTGTGCTTTGGCATACTATGCTATAGTGTTACTGTGCAAGTCTTTGTTAAACAAAGAATTTATAAAAAGATCACAAGGAAGGCTGAAAGGTAAAAGCAAGACATGGGATGACTTATATGCAGTTAAATAAATTTTAAAAACTACTTAAGAGTTTAGGAAGGAGACAAGAGAGGTAATCGGCAATTTTATATTGAATAGCCCACATTAAATGTCATGTCCTCGTGTGTGGCACACCCAAGTTTATATGGGGAAAACATGGCTGTTTGGGTTGCATTGAGCTAAAAAAATAATTATCTCTTCAATACCATGAGCTAGATGGGCCATTAGTATTTTACAGGGCACACTTGTCAGAAGAAAAGAAATGAAGGGAATACACCTTCAGCCTAAATTTTTTATTGTAATGGAAACAATTTTTTTTTTTTTTTTAATAGATTCTGTACCTGATATTTACTCTTGAGATTTCAGATAATAGCTGATAGCTGACAAAGCATTGCCAAATTTGTATAAAAATATTTTTCAGGACTTACTTAAAGAATATTGTAACAAATCTCGGTATTCAGGCTCTCTGCAAACTGCACCACACGTCACAACAAATTTAAAGAACTTGACAACTCAGGGCTCCAAAGTAATGTAACAGTTTAATGTCAAATACATCACAGCCAATACTGTACAATTAACAACAACATAACACTGACTGTACAAAACCCTTGCCTCCCGGACAGACTTCACCCTGTGCTGTTTCTGACATCACCTCGTACTGGTGACATTTGCGAGGTAATGTGAATTCACTTGACTCTTGACACCTTCGCTTTTATATAGGGTCCCTGCTGGCTTTCTAGAACCGGACAGAACATCACTCGACCATTCTGGTTGATCACATGACTACTGACTACATCTCCCTGTGATGCTTCTAAGCTCTATTCACTCTAGATGTTTCTACATACTTCGCCAATCATCACAGTTGACCGTCTTTGCTCGTCATAGTTGACCACTCGTCTAGCACCGGGGGTGGGGCGATTTGTGTCAGCTGACTACACACATACCAATACCCCCATCTGTGTCACCACCAGGTTTATAACAATATGCTAAGTTTTTTAAGTGTACATTGTATATGGTGGTAATTAAAAAAGAGCTAATAATGTTCAATTTCACCTTGTTATTTTGTTTTATCAGGTTGATCGTATCATACTGTGCCTTTTTCTACCCAAAGATGTAGATATCTACAACAAATATTTACAAGTGTACTTCCCAATTAAAAAGCTCAAAGACTCAGTCACAGATGTGGTACCAGAATTAACATCATGTGATACTAAAGGCACAACTTCTGGTGCTACTATTGGTAAAGATGCTGAAAATGCTGTTAAAGATACAACCACAAGTCCTAGGGAAGGTACAAATTCAGAAGAAACTTCAAGTTCTACTAAAAATAAAGATTCAAAAGCTCTTGGCGACATCACTTCAAGTTCTGCCAAAAATAATTTAAATGTCCCTGATGAAACCATGTCAAGTTCTGCCAAAAATAAAATTTCAAATGCTTCTGATAACACCAGTTCAAGTTCTGCCAAAAAAAAAAATTCCAATGCTCCCAAGGACACTTTAAGTTCTTCAAAACAAAAAAGTTCAAAAGCTCCAGATAACACCAGTTCAGGTTCTGCCAAAAATACAAATTCAAATGCTCCTGATAACACCACTTCAGATTCTGCCAAAAATAAAAATTCAAATGCTCCTGATAACACCACTTCAGGTTCTGCCAAAAATACAAATTCAAATGCTCCCAAGGACAACACTTTAAGTTCTACAAAAAAAAAAAGTTCAAATGCTCCTGACAACACCAGTTCAAGTTCTGCCAAAAATAAAAATGTAAATCCTCCTGGGGACACTACTTCAGGTTCTAGAAAAGATAAAACTTTGGGTGCCAGTAAAGAAGGACCCTCTGTTGCTACTGCAGAAAAAGATCCAGGTACTATCTGTGGTCGTAAGTTGTTTATTCTATTACCCTGTTCTGTTTTGATGTTGGCTATCTCATTATACTATTTTGATTTTTATTTCAATATAACTATTTAACTTTTGAGTTACTTTATCATTATATATATTTATTTTTTATATAACTAATGTCACGCTGGAATGTGATAATATTTTTTAAGACAATATCTATTTCAGTGCCAATGTGTTGAACATACCTGTACATCTCTAGTAACTGTTGTAGCTATTGAAGTACTCATTACAATGGAAATTTTTTTCATTGAGATTTAGTTGTCATTTGGGCGGATGTTAAAAAGGCCATCTATTTCTGTGGCTAACAGTGAATGGGGGTGTCATGTGGTTAGCCATTTGTTCATCTTTACTTTCCCCCAAAATGCCATGTACAAATTAGAGATGGGTGAACTCAAGTTGTCCTAATAATCCAGCAATCACAATCACTAAAGAGCCCTAGCTAAGGAAGCCAAGAGCTTCATCACACTGCTGGCTCACCCCAAAAGGTGCATTTTTTTTTATGTATTAAGTGCTAATCTCTGTAGTCCAGCTTTAGTTTATGTAAATAAACAGAAGAACTATTTGTAATAAATAAAGTAAGATGAGATTTGTTTAAACTTTTGAAATCCTCATTTATTTATCTGGCATGAATGATTGAGTCCACCCTTAACTAATATTGAACAGTTGCCTAACATCTATTGGGGGAAAGTGAAAGTGTTTAGTCAGTGTGTTGTCTATACAACATTCTCAGTGGCATTTTAAGAACAGGTGAAGGTGGCATTCCTATAGGTCTCAAAGATTTTTTTCTTTACTGCTGTATATACAAGTTAAACAAACTGTTGCTGCAATACATCTTATGTAATCTGTGATGTGATTTTAATCCATTTCTTTAGTGAACCTTATTGTTATTATTATTATTCTTATAATCATTCTTACAATTTCTGATTTTTAATATTCATTTCATAATTTAGTGTAAATTTTAGTTTGATAAAGTTAATTCCATGCTTAATATTATATTTTTAAATGCTTATTTTGTATTCAATAAACCAAACTTTGTGTAGTTTTGACTTTGCGACAAAGTTCCATAAAGTGTAAGAAACCTAATTTAACATTTGCAGAACCTAAAGAGAATAGTGAAGAGACAGAGAAACAGAAGGCTGAAAACAAAAAGTTGAGCTAAAAGGCTGGTTGTATTGGAGTTTGAACTCTGTTTAGAGTAACTGAATCCTAGAGACAACTGTATTGTAATATAACCTGGAATTTACATTTGTAATACTTTTGTTTTCTTATGTAGTTTTTACATTTTAAATTTTGTTTATAAATGAATGTAATATTTTATAATCTTATAATGTTAAAGAATCAACCTATGAGAAAAAAATCTTGAAAAATGTCAAAAGACTTCTCTTACTAAATAATTAATTTTTTTTTAGCATGGCCAATTTTTTTTTTATTGTTTGTTATTTTACTATTGCTATTTTGGTTTTGGCCATTTTCATCCTCAATGTGGATTTACTTATTATCTAAAATTAAAATCTGTAAGTTGAAATCATTATAAACTCTTTCTTTCCTAATTGACAATGTCATAGTTGATTTGACCTCATTAAATTAAATTAATGTTTAATTTTATAAACTTTATTTTGTGTTATAAAAAAAGAGCATGCATTCTTCTTTTACCAAATATAACATTTTCTGATAACAAACGACAAAGCCATTGAAGCTTAATCATAACAGGATAGTGAAATAGTAATGAGCAAAATGAAGAATTCAGTTGAAGCGTAGAAAAATAATTACGGAGAGAAAGAGTTCTTTTATGCTTACCTTGTATGCTTACAGTCTATGATAATAAAATAATCATAAGCAATACAATTGCTTTTATTGGCTTCACAATATCATGAGTGTGTTACTTTAATAGGGCACAATTAGACTTTGCAGTTATCATTGTGTATGCTGATGCGAGATTAAATGTATCTTATATTTGACAAAGTTTAATCTTATCTTAGCAAAGTCATGTGAAACCCAGCTTTAACTTCTAAGAGAATTCATTTATTATCCAAACAGATAAATATTCAAAAGAATCATTTCTTTTTCAGAACGGAGTAGTATTTGATTTATTAGTTTTCTAATTCAAAATGAATACATACATGGCAAACAAACTTTTAGGCATCAATATATATCAGTCATACCTATTTTCAACCTGTAAAATCAACCATACATTTTTTTTACAGGATCTATTCAAAATACAAATATTATTTCAATCTGCTTCTATCTTATAAAGAATTGGATGGCAACAGCTCAAAACATACACTGATACACTGACAGTATTCATGTTACAACTGAACATTACATTCATTATCATTCACTTTTATAAAAATAAAGACAGAGAGATATATAAAAATAGATAAATTTTGCTTGAAAGATATATTTCAACTAAATGTAATTGGGTTGTATAGAGACATAGCTAAAATATTATTGTTTTTTTTTTTGTACAAAACAAATAATAAATAATCATATCACAGACCAGTTTCTGAGAAAGTGTCTTCTAAGTCAATTTTGGATGGAAGATCAGGAATGTTTAACTGTAGCTCAGGGATCAGTGCTATTGTCCCATCATGTTCATCTTTTGACATAGTGTTTAGAATGTCGTCAACTAAGACCTTGGAGGAAGAATTAAGACGCAGAACTTCAGTAGATGTCTGGCTTGCTTTGTGGAGTTGGGATCGTAAGAACTCCACCTCCCTGGCCAATAGCTGGCGATCTCGACTTAATTGACTGTATTTTGTAATGGCTTCAACCAACTGGAGATAATAAAAAATAATTTTTAATCAAGCATGTGAATGATAAAATAGTTCAACCACAATGTTCCTAAGTATATTGAAACTTCACACACCAACTCCTTAGGTCAGACTGACCCCTCCACAGTGTCGTTAGTTATTTAATTATTACATTTCTTCATGAAAGCTAAGTTTTACAGTGAAACAAATTTGTACAAGAGCCTTAGAATTGAATTCTCTTCCAAATTTACTAATTATATTAGTTTTAACTCAAGAGAGAATCTTGTGGGTAAGATGTTTGTGAATGTGGGTATGAACCTGTTTACTTATACCATTATTCTAATTAACAATCCAACTATGGCTTTGTGCAGAGTATGTGGTTACAAGGGACCCAGGCACCACCAAAATACATTGATAATATTACCAAAAAAAATTGACATGGCAGGTTAAAAGGGTTACTGACTATCCCATCACAGAAAGCTGCTGCAGGGCATGCCACAAAGAAATGATGAGAAAGAAAAGAAATTAAAATGAGAGTAAAATAAGAAATGTGATAAATTGATGATTGTTTACCTTGAATTATACAAGTAGTTTTTTTAATGGCAGTCATAATTAATAAAAAAAACAACAACTAAAAATGATAGCCTTTGTAGATCAGTCACACAAAAAACATTAGAAAATTCACCTGCATAATAATATATAAATATTTACATCCCCAACAACTGCCCCCCCCCCCCCCCAAGTTAATACCTAGTCAATATGTATTTAATATTCAAACTTAATTTTAAAACGAAAGGGCATGCGCCCAGAAGACCATTTGTACCCACTAAAACTAAAACATTTTAGAGGACGGTTAAGGATTTTGGTTTTTTAAATCTAATCATGACAGGGGGAGGACAGAAATACAGTACAAAAACAAAGCAATTTTCCCCTATAAAGGTTGTTAAAAGAAAGGGTTTATAGCTTGACTAATGGAAGTACATTTGTGGTCAGAAATGACATTCTAATTATACATTCATTCTGGCATGTGATATTTGTGCTTAAAATCTGACATCAATGAAAAGAAAAAACAACCTGAACAGCTTGGTGTTGAGCCTGCTCATCCAAAGACTTCAGCCGATCTTTCATCTTATCATGAACCCTGACATGTTGGTCAGACTGATTCTCAAGTTCTGTCACACGAAGACTCATTCTCTCCATCCTCTTCATAAGCTCACTGTTGGCCTGTTGTAGTTTTCCATTTTGACCTCTGATGTTTTGAAGAAAATACCAGGACATTTTCAAAGTGTTATATCAATAGTTAGTTGAGAACAGATGAGGCTATTTAATCATAGTTCAAAGTTCACCAAGTCTACCTACAAGTCTACAAGTTGTTAACCTAGTTATTTTTCTCTCCATTTTTGGTTTCTAATTACCATCTCTTTCATGAATGAAATGAATTATTGAACAGTATGAATGCAAAAACAAGTTTTAACTTAGAATGTAAATGAGAATAAATTGTTTTTCTTTTTAATATAAATCTTTAGCTCTATATTTTCTTAAAATAGTGTGGTTGAGTGGTTAAGCGCTTGGATTCTAGGTTCAATTCTCAGTGAAGTCTGGGATTTTTTTATTTAGGGATTTTAAGGGTGCCAATCAACTCTAATGTGTACCTGACTTTAGTTGGGGAAAGTAAAGGTGGTGGATCATTGTGCTGGCCACATGATACCCTGCTCATTAATCATTGGCCAAATAAATAGATGACCTTAACATCGCCTTAGATTGCAAGATCTAAAAGGGGAACTTCACTTATTTACTTTAGTGTTCTTATTATTCCTCTCTTTTAGGTGGAGTTGGTGTTGATAAAAATGTAAAGTAATTTAAAATCTAAAATAAGTCATAAATAAATATTATAACAACTTCAAGGAAACACAAAGCAACAACTACAGAGGCTACATCTCAAATGAGAAAGTATGCGATTGAACAGTTGATAAGGCAGGAGTTCTCAACCTGTGGGTCGCAACCCCCTTGGGGGTAGATTGACAATTTGTCAGGGGTAGCTTATGTCCAACGGAAATGAATGAATTTTTTAGTCCATTCTAACATGTAAAACTTGTGACATATTAAGTTTTTTCCATTGAAATTTACTAAATATATTGTTATTTGAGAAAAGATGCTGCAGACAACTGAATCAAAATTGATTTCGAACATTTTGATTGTCCAGCAGATATATTTGTACGGTATATGTTTAAATTAATGCATAGCGTATCGTTACTTCTGGACAGTCTGGACATGAATAAGATTGGAACATAAAATTGTGAAAAATCGGTAATATATTAACTAAACATTGTACTTTTTAAAAAAGGTTGAACAAAGCTTCCATAAATTTGAATTTTAATAAATAAACTTTGTTTAGAAATCCATGCTTCTCTCTATGAGATAAATTACTTTGAACCTGGCAAACATATAAAATGATAATTTCTGTGAAAGAACATTTGCGCATGTCTGTAGACAAAATTTCCTCCTACTTTCCAAATCTATTCAACATCTCATTGCACTTGCCAGAAATCCGATGAAAGTCAAAGTTAAAGATCTTTAGCAGACATAAATAGTTTAATTGTGAAACTTTTCTCTACACAATTCTGGATCAAGCGTTTGCAGCCATGTTAACGTTTGTCTCTGTTGCACCTTCTTCCATTTGCAATAATATATTTATTTCTGGAAACAGCCAGTTAGTTATCCAATTTAAATACAGAAAATTGTCATGTGTGTGGAATGTGAATATCAAATACTAATGTAAATAGATGCACATCATAAAGAAATTATTTCATTGATTTGTATTTGGATAATAAGGAGAAATATCTATTTCAAGACTATAATTACATACTGTACCGTGATTAAACATTAAGCTTTGGCAATACAAACCAGATAGTTACATTCGACCTCTAATTATAATTTGGAAACATCATACTTATAATGGAAAATAATTTAATGTTGGGGGTCGCAAATAAATGAGGAATTCTAAAAAGGGGCTGTCTAGCTAAAAAGGTTGAGAACCTCTGTGATAAGGCATTGTAATCAACCATCTGACCAGGGTACAAATAAAACTATGGCGGTTAGTGCAAGCTCACAAGATCCCCACACTGGCTAAGACCAAAAGATGAAAATATGAAGGGAAAGAGTCAACAAAACACATTTAATGCTGCAATGATGATTGGATAAAATATAAAATATGTTGATGTTTTATTTAAATGATCTTTTGATATTTATAGAAACCTTTTTTGAAAAAAAAAAGTAAATACATCCTTCCAAGTCCA